AACTTTCTGACGTAGTTTTTAACTCACTGACTTCTAATATTTGTTGATCTATTTTGGTTCAAGTCATGTTTACGGGCGGAAATCGTGATTGCTTTTATTGTTGAGCATCCTCTTGACCGGAAGTGTCACTAATTACCTGTCCGGCTTGACGTCGCTTAGTCCAGGGGATGAGACATTAGTTCCGCTGTTTCCTGTCAGTCTTTAATAATAAATGAGTCAATAAAACATTTATTCGCTTTATTTTCTTTGTTTTTCTGAACAACTCAGTTTAATATTCAGATTCATACATTCAGAGTGAATTATGTTCGACATTATAAAGCGCGTGGGGACGGAAATAGAGCAGTTACACACCTGTTGCGTCGTTTTAATGCACGTTTTTAAAAATAACAATAATAATAAAGGAGTGTATCCGTGGAGGAAGAGGAGGAGGAGGAGGAGGAGGAGGAAGAGGAGGGGGGAGAGGAGGAGTGAATGAGGAGTTCAGTTTTCAGGGCGTATGAGGAAGTTGCTGTAGAAAGAAAAACAACCGAGCAGCTCTTTGAAAATGCCTGGAAAGAAAGTTTGCATCGTGGGATCCGGAAACTGGTAACTTCTATTTTCTTGATTTGATTTCAGATGCATCTTCTCAGAAACGTTAAAGTTGTGATCATGAGTTTGTTCGTCAGCTGATTGAACTTTACTCCTTCTCCTCCTCCTTCGCTCACTTTGTTATGAACCTGGTTCTGCTGCAACATTAAAGTGATTTTCTACCTGTTTGTGTGAAAACTTCAGGCTCTTCTCGTTAATTTAACCTAAATGAAAGTTTGTGCACGGTGTCACAGTGTTGGTGTGATCCTGTTCCTGCTACTTGTTAAAGTTGTGTTGAAAGATGCTGTTTGTGTTTCCTCCTCTCTCTCCCTCCAGGGGCTCCTCCATCGCCAAGATCATCGGCCACAATGTGAAGGCCTCCAACCGCTTCGACCCCCTGGTCAACATGTGGGTGTTCGAGGAGGTGATGGACGACGGCAGGAAGCTCACAGAGATCATCAACACCGACCACGAGAACGTCAGATACCTGCCGGGTCACAAGCTGCCCAGGAATGTGGTGAGAGCCGCAGAGTGTTATTACACAGGAGAGGTCGCTGAAATACACCGAGACACTGATAAGATAACGAAGCTCTGACTCACACATCTTTCCGTGTGTCCTTCGTGGACTGTTTGCTCACTATGACCACACAACCGTCACATCCTGCAGAGAAGAACCGTTTAACTGCAGGAAGCATTCAGAACGAGACGGCACATTTCAACATAGCTGCAGTCACACAACATTTTCTTTGGCCTCAGCTTTCTTTGTGGTCACTTCCTGTCCTGACGTCCCTCCAGGTGGCCGTCCCCGACATCACAGAGGCCGTGAAAGGAGCTAAGATCCTCGTCTTCGTCATCCCACACCAGTTCATCGGCAAACTCTGTGACCAGATGAAGCCTCACATCACCGAGGGAACCATCGGGATATCGCTCATCAAAGTAAGACCCCGTCCTCTCTCTCTCTCTCTATTCCCTCATTCTTCTTTCTGTCTCATTTCCTGTCGGCCAAAACGAAGGAAACCATCACGTGACTCACTGCACTTCAAGTTTTCTGTGGCCGCAGCATCATGTGACGTTTCAGTTGAGCAACACAGAGAAAATCTTTCGACATAGACTGTAAATAAAAGTGGACGTGGACCTGTACGCTCCTCCGAATATAGTTACCTCTGGTTTCAAAAAACCAAGATGGACAAATTGTCAAACCCAGAACTGTCTCGTCGGTTAACTAGGGTGTGGACGAAGGACCGGACGGACTGAAGCTGATCTCAGACATCATCCGAGAGAAGCTGGAGATCGAGGTCAGCGTCCTGATGGGCGCCAACATCGCCAGCGAGGTGGCAGACGAGAAGTTCTGTGAAACCACCATCGGTTCGTGTTCATTGTTCTCATCAGTGTTTCTACGTTTTGTCCTCCTGACGCTGCCGAGGAAGAAAAGGGAAACACATCAGTACCTCCTCGTGGCACCGGTGTCGAGTGACGTCTTTATCTTTTTCCTGCAGGAGCAAAAAATGAGGCAAACGGACACATCTTCAAAGAGCTGCTGCAGACTCCAAACTTCCGCATCACCGTGGTGACAGAGAGCCACACAGTGGAGCTGTGTGGAGCCTTAAAGGTAAAGACAGACTCTATCTTTACTTTTCCTGCTTTACAGATTATAATGCATGTCTTCTCTAATCCGCGCCCTGTCAGAATATTGTGGCCGTAGGTGCCGGGTTCTGCGACGGTCTCGGATTCGGCGACAACACCAAAGCGGCGGTGATCCGGCTGGGTCTCATGGAGATGGTCGCCTTCGCCAAGTTGTTCTGCAGAGAACCGGTGACCTCGTCCACCTTCCTGGAGAGCTGCGGCGTGGCCGACCTCATCACCACCTGCTACGGGGGACGCAACCGCAAAGTGGCCGAGGCCTTCGTCAAAACGTCCAAGGTGAATCAGGCGCAGAGGTTCATTCAGAAACCTGCTTCTTTAACGGTTGTGAATGAAACAACATCCAACTTGTTCTTCTGTGTTGGGTTCTTCAGTCCATCGCTGAGCTGGAGGCAGAGATGCTGAACGGCCAGAAGCTTCAGGGTCCACAGACGTCAGCGGAGGTTTATAAGATCCTGCAGAAGAAAGACATGGTCAACAAGTGAGTCACATTCACTCACAATACCTTTAATATTAAATGTTGTTAAATAAAGACACAGATTAATTCTATTTATTTTTAATTATTAACAGTTTATTACTGAGATCATAACGAGCTTCAGGCAATATTCCTCTTCCAATATCTGAGTCGATAACCTGCTCATCTCTTCTTTCCTGCAGGTTTCCCTTGTTTGCTGCCGTCTACCAGATCTGCTTCGAGGGCAAAGAGGTGAAGGAGTTCATCACCTGCCTGCAGAGCCATCCTGAGCACATGTGAGCAGTGTGCAGACACTTCACCACCACTAGATGGTGACAGAGATTCACATGCTGGACACGCACAACTCAACTTAGTCAATTCAACCAAAGGCACTTTTTACTTCTTTTTATTGGAGACATTTCATTGTGCAGACCGTTCCCCTTTAGCTTCTGATGCACTTATATTAAAAAAAAATCATTTTACTTCTAACAAAGTTAGAAAAGAAAAGTTAAAGCTATTAAAGAAATGATTAATACAAATATTTTCATCATTTGTAGCAGTAAAACTGCAATAGAAATTGTATAACAATACCAAATGCAGCACTACTAAGATTCTGTTAATGCAACTCTGTTTGTGTGACTGACATAAACACGGTGTTTACAATTTTCTACAACAATGTGGAGTTTTTATCTCAATAAAAGATTAAGAGAAGTTTTCGTTTATTCTGAACAATCAGAAGTTAGTCCAGGGAGGTATGGCAGTATCCAGTCTTGACACCAGGGGGTGCAGCACTCACATTAAGTGATATTTCAACTATGAACAGTAGAAAACAGGACTGATGTCAAACCAGTTCAGTCTGTGGTCCAGCAGCTGTGTGATTGAGTTGTGTGTTGGATCTCAGTGTGTGTGTCTGCGTTTGTGTGTCTTTGTGTGTGTGTGTGTGTGTGAGACAGACCCACACTGATTCCCACGAGGCCGCAGTAACCTGGTATGAGAAAGCAGATTAATGAACAAAAAGCGTCCTTGTCCCTGCGTGTCGGCCATGTTACAGGTCGACCCGGTGAACGCTTTGATCCTCTGCCTCCGTCTCCGTCCGTCTACCATCACTGTGTCTCACTGAGTCATGTCCCACCCTGTCTCTCTGTGCTTGTATCACTTCTTTACACGTAGATGTGGAAACAGAGAAACAAAATCGATCCAAACACTTTAGATATTTGAGAAATTGAAAGTGTGAGGGATCAAATTTCAGATCCATTGGCTCCACTGTGCTTTAGTATCCTGGATATTCTCCGTGTATGCACCTATCAGTGGTGGTGGGTGTCTTTAACTGGTCCCATCAGTCCGTGTCCTCCGTATCCTCGTCTGCCCAGATCCCAGGACATCAAACGGTTCATCTGAAAGCTCAGGAGGGCGATGGAAGAGGCACCAGTTTTTTTTTTTTATGGGGGCACAAAGAGGCCAAGAGGAGCTTCCAGGTTTCCCATGGGAGAGGAGGGTCTCTCAGGTCGACGTCCCCCTCTCATCTCCACGCCGCTACTGTCATCGGTGGGTTTTGAGCGAGCGCTGAGACCCTTGTGGTGGTTTGACACCGGCCCAGATCCAAGAGAGGGTCCACCTTCAGCCTGAAAGAGGAGCTTAATCACCACGGTAACTTGTCTGTTGGTAGCCCTCGACCCCAGGCACACACACACACACATGCACTGTCCTCCAGTCAGAGGCCTGTGTGTGTGCGTGTTATTGGATTTAAAGCTCACTGCTTCTCGTCCATTCTTTAAGGAATATTTCACATGTTTTGGAAATTGAGACGAGACGAGATCGATGTGAATTTGTCTCTGAGCACAGAGAGTGGAAACTCGTCTGTCTCCGTCCAAAGTGAAGAAAAACACCTTTGGACTAATTCACACGTTGTATCTCCTTTGTTTAACTTGTGAGGAGAGAGAAATGTAAAAACAGCAATTTGTGGTTTATGGAGGAGTCGTGTGTTGGACTTAAATTACAAAGAGACGACTTTCAATGCAAAAGAATCGTCCCTTTATAAGCTGTGGACACTGAAAGTCTTCCAGAGGCACGGGAACGCTGCCATTTTTCAAAATTGTGAGCAAACAAGATTCACCTCCAGCGTAATGAGGCTGAGCCAAAGCTCTTAAAGCTGCGATCATCCATATTTTCATGATTGTATATTATGTGAAAGGGTCACACACAGTCTGGAGCCTCTTTCTCACGGCAGCGTCTGTTTATAGCACAAAACAAGACTCCACCTCAACTGAACCGAAAACGAATATGACGAGCGGAACCAGCCAAGTTGAAAACGTCGGTGAGTTGAACTTTAAGATAAGAGTTGGATCAGGACTTTAGCGGTTCTGCTCAGTCTCCGTGTTTTCAGGATGACGTCGACCCGAGCGCGTTAAGACACCGTTCAGTACATTTCACGCCGAGTTGTGATTTATGAGGTGTGATGAGCCTGGGCTGTTATTCTCACACCTGACTATCCCTGGGATGAAGGAGTGAGTTACAGTCCAACCTCTCTGCAGAGCGCTGCAGGGCTTTATTTTTTGAAAGTATGTGTGGCCGCCTCAGGCCAGACCACATGGTTCACGCCTTTACAGTTATAGCACCCAGAGAAGCTTGGAGTCAGTGTGAAACCTCACACGTGGACTAATAGATAACTCATAATGTCCCCTTCAGGCAAACGAGCGCTGGTGTGGTTTTAATCTGTTATATCTTTACGTGTCGATGCTCCTTCATGTTTCAATGTGTGTGTGTGTTTGCCACTAAAGGGGAGAGTCTGTCCTCCGTCCTCGGTTAATTACAGGCCCCTGATCTCGTCAGCTGTCGCTGCCACACTCTTTTTACATGTCAGTGACAGCCAAATGGGACCTCACATCCTCCCTCCGCTCATGCACTGGGCTGCGAAGACAAAAAGAGATAAAGCAAAAGGATGCCACTCCTCGTCCCAGCTGGCGTTGGCTCCGCTGCCGCCGCCTTTAACCTCCGCGTGGTCATCTCCATCCTCGGCCTGATTGGTGGGGGCTCCGGCTCTTTGCCTCCTTTTGTGCTCTGCCTGGAGGTGAAGGCAGCAGCGGTGGTGCTTGCTCTGGTTGCTTTTGCAGTCTGCGGGGGGGGGGGAGAAGTTGGCAGGAAGCCTGGTCGTGGTAATGCATACAAACACCGGGGTGAAAACACAAGGCCTATTTGTTCCACTCTCCCATCCTCTTACCTCAGGGAGAGTGGAAAAAATTGCATGAGACAGCCATAAGATACGGTGCGTCCCTCGCTCCCTCTGGACAGCCATTGATTCTGTGGGACAGGGACGAGACAAATGGGGAGAGGTCCTCGTCAGGAAATCACAGACCATAACTCAATGAAATTAAGTCAATTTGTACAATGTCGACCTGGCAGGACGCCCGGCTCGGTTTGCTGCTTCAGAGAACGAGAGAAAGCTTCTTTGATTAAATATAAACGACTCTGGGCCTCGATGTGAGTCTGCACAACAGCATCAGGAGAGTAGCTGCAGTTTAATAATATCCAGCATGTCTGACGAGACAAAGGCCCGACAATGTCAAAGCTGGATAACCTCCGTTGTTCCTGCTCTGCATTACATCCTGCTTCGTCTAAATCGGCTCGGCTTGATCCCCTGCGGACTCAGAGATGCTGACATCAGTGCAAACTCCACACTTCCTCCACTCTGATTTGTGGAAGGTGAAATCTTTAGCGTATGTACTGCACCAGTGTCTCTGGAGTCGGAGCTTACATGCACATAAAGATGCTTTCCGAGGCGGCCGGGTTCCCAGTGCAGCTGCAAATAACATCGATGTGGCATTCCTTCATGTCAGTGGAGCGGAGCTGCTTCCTGCTCCTCAGAGCTGAAGAGGAGAGGAGACTCAACCTCCTCGACAGGATCGAGGAGGAAAATGATTTCATGTGAATTAACCCTGAGCCACTTTCTCCACATCATGCACCAAACAATCAGAAGTCAGATTTGTTTTCTTCATACATTTCTATGGATTTTGAATCCTTACACTGGTTCTGATTCTGAATGAGACATTACTCATTTCTCAAATCATTTCCTAATTTGGAGAAACTACAAGTTGACTCGGACTTGCTGACGTCATCACTTATAAACCAATTAATGTATCTGGCTAATTTCAGAATACATCCATGTAAACGTGTCAGATCTTGCAGCGAGCAGCAGAGTTGTCTGCTCTCTGGTCGCTCTGGTCTTAACCACAATTGCAGCGAGCGATCCGAAGGGAGGCATTATGGCTGAATGATAAAGCAGCCCCACACGTTTGGAAGAAGAAGGGGTGACACTGTGATGCTGTGCATTTATGCATCTGTTTGTGTTTATGTGTTTTTCTCCTTGGGTGTTTTTCCCACATTTGACCTCAGACATTCACCTCATTCACCATCAGGTCTGCAGCTGCAGTGTGTTTCAGCTCTTGTGTATTTTGACCAGAGCCATTTGTGAAGCTCTGGAGCCTCCACACTTCTAAATGCTTTGACCCGTCTTCTTGCATCTTCTCCCTCCCTCTGCTCCAATCGTTTCCTGCCGTCTCCTGCGGGGCTCCGACCTGTGACATGAAAGAGTCGGACCTCCTGCCTGCAATGGCGCCGGATGTGCTGCAGGTCAAGACGTGTGTTCCACAATCATTTAACCATTACCTCCCTGCAGGACTCTCCGGGCGCAGACACACGATCACAGTGATGTATGAGCAAGGTTTCCACTGGAATGGGATCCTCAAGCTTGTTTTCTTTTGCTCTGTCGCTCCCAGGAGGTAATAGTTTGTGCAAACATCCAGATTTTTGCCCCAAATCTTTCAAATTGACAATAAAAATAAAAAGTGAGAGCGAAGGAGAGTAGAATGAGTGTTTATCTTTCCTTACTCTGAGATAAGAATGTCTCAGAGTGAGTGGAGGAGGAAGATATGGAAGACAGGATGAGATATAAAGGAGAGGATTTAAACTTGTTTGTTTTTGTTTTAGATAACATGAGAAAACTCAGGCTTTCTCACGTGCACCCACTGCGGTGCTGCCCCTGATTTACCCACTCAGATTAATGACCCATCTGTAAACCTTCCCAAATAAGAGCGCACACAATTGTGGCATTATTCAAATGTTCATTCTGGAGTTTTTTCTATTAGATTAAAAGAAAATATCACAAGCTTTCAATTGCACAATCAAAGATTCCCATTATCAAATGCATCATATTATGACCCTTCTCCAAAGTCATCAGACGCCAATCATCTGATTTTTTATTCAGTTAGCTCCTGACATTTCGGTTTAAGTGAACGCCCGTGATTACAAATAGTTTGTGTGATTTGTGAATTTATCTCTCAGCTCTCCGCAGCCTTGTGGTGTCGTCAGCCCACTCGTCCTCGCTCTGTCTCTGTGAGCGAACAATGTTGCAATGCAGTGATCTTATAGGGGAAGAATGCGACGACAGAATGGAATTACGCAGAGAAATTATTGCACTTGAGGCCACAAAGAATGCAGCGGAGTCGGGCTGAAGTGGAGCATTTGTTCACAGTGGTTATGGAAGACCAACAGTGGGTGGCTGGGACTTTAGCCGAAGGGCTCGGCCGTCCAGGCTGCGAGCTAGGAAACTTGAAATTATGATTTTATTTTAAGTACATGCACATTTGATTTTGATGCATTCTGCAGAAAATAACATGAAAAATAAACTAAATATGACATCAGGGCTA